CGCCTGATGGGCGCAGCAGCCATTACCTCTGCTCCTGCTCCCCTTTCACCGGTGTGCAGAGCCACAACAGGCACCAGGAGACACGAGGCCACCCTCACTTGGCATCCAGGTCTGGGGGTCACGCTATGAGCACGAGGGTCACATCAAGCAGTGTGCCCTTCACTTTTCCCGGCAGAAGTTCCCAGGCAGTGACAGTACATCTACCACAGGGGTGGAAAAATGCTCTGAGTCCTTAATCAGTTTCAACGCAAATATCCAGAAACCTGCTTGAATTAATGTCCGTAAGGTTCTCCATCACTGAACTCAATTGCTGAACTCCATCACTGTTCCCTGCCTAACTCTCTAGGGCGTGAAAGCGCAGAAGAATTTCTGGCTGAAGCTTGCCTCTCTGGTCCCGCTGTCACAGATGCTCCCTCCAAACAAGTGTCTCTAATTCACCCACCTTCACGCTTGATGCTGCAAGAATCATTCCTTACCCACTAATTCGGTTAGTCCCAAAGCACAGTGGGTGAAATCACAGCATCTGTTGCTGCTAGGCAGCCTCCTCCACCCAATTAGTGGTTTCAAAGAGTTTCAGATGAATTTTCAATTTCTCCTGCAGGTACTGCTCATTGCAACGACCAGCCAGAGGAAAAAGCTCTCAGTGCTCTGAGACAAACTTGTTCTAACACCAGAGGAAGCTCCTTCGTCCCATCAGCCCCATCATTAGCACCATGCTCATTCCCACAGAGCCTAGGACCTTGTGTGCAATATCAGCTGCTCCTGAGAGAGCTGGTTTTAGACATTGGGGTTTTTAGGGTAAGACTAGATGGGTCCAAAATTACCCCCACCCCACACATCCACCTGACTGGAGTTGTAAACTGAGCACTGCTGATGATCTGGTAGTGCAGAGCATGCAGCATCAGGCACATGGAGCAATTTTTTCTCTCCTCTGATAAAAGGAAAAGGTGACTCAGCTCAGCCCAGCTGAGCTTTCATCCATGACCAGCTCCCTCCTGTAATTCACAGAGTTCCTGTTTCATTGTCTGAACAGCCATAGCATATTTCCAACTAATGGAAGAGGAAGCTTTCAGCCTTTGAACTTCATCATTTCAGTTTCTCAGTCTACTTCAGTGGAAAATTTCCTATCCAAGCCACGGATCACCCCTGACTAGTCATATCGCCGTGTATTTTGGGAAATAAATTCACAGAACTGGCTTCTCTCCATTCTCAGACATGAAAGCATCTCCCCAGCTATTTCTAGGTAGGATAAGGAATTAGAGGAAGTTCATCTGGAACAACATATAAGCAAGAAATGCGTGGAAATGTGGTACTTTTTCCCACCTTACCTTTGCATGTTGAAAATACTTCTTCTGGTCATTTCATGTCCTCAGTTGCTTATCTACAAAGAAACCCAGAGCTGCTGCTGCCGTAGTCCTTGGGAAGGTCTGAGATGTGACAGAGACAAACCTCTGACTAACTCAATTTCCTCAGCATGTCCACAACATCTCACATGCCCTGTGAACCACAGGAGTTGCTGGATTGAAATCACACTTCTCAGGGCTTCTCTGAGCACCTGAAGGGTGAGCTGGTGGTCATATGTCTCATCACCTTTGGAAATCAGCCATGTGCAGAGTCTTGGAAATCGGGGGGCTGAGAAAGGTGCTCTTCCTCATTTCCATTCCTTCTTTTGCAGGCTGAAGGCCTGTTACAGCTAATTTGGAAATACCTTGTTGCAAAATGTGAGGCATTGAGTTCAGAGTGAAACCCTGACGCAATCTGTATCTGAAAGAGACAGGACTAGGAAAGCTCCCTCCCCTTCTCTCTGCAGCTGTCTCGCATCTCCAACTCATTTTGACACATTTTTGGTTCCTCTTCAAAGAAAAAGAGAGTGCTACCAGTTATGCAAGACCCCTCTCTTGCCCAGCCCTCCAGGACCCCCCAAGTTCTCATGTCCCCCATGGGTTACTGCAGCAGCCAGGTCTGTAGCAGCAAGCAGCAGGGAAGGGCATCTGTGGGTACAATGAATTGCTCTGGTTTCCTCAAAACCACTGGCCATGCTTCCACAGGTGGCAGCTGAAGTAGATTTGAGTTACAACGACAAGCTGTGGCAGCAGGGCCAAGGCTGGTGTCAGCAGAGGTGTGAGGGCATTATTGAGCAAGAGCAAGGAAGTTCCATATCCATCACCAAGTGCTCCCCAGCAACCCCGCTGAGCACCTCAGTCCTGGCTCGTTGCACACAAATGTTTGACCCAGCACATCAGCAGGTACCTCCCTGCCAAGGAGGGGGACGTGCAGGACCTGCTGCAGGAGCTGGGGCGCAGCGCTGGGGGCTCGAGGGTGGAAGCAGAGCCTTGCTCCCTGCGAGACGGGAGGCGAGTGCTGCGTGGAAACAAATGAAACGAGAGCTGCTGTGAGCAGAAGTGAGAGTGGGAGTGTGGAAATGAAAATCCCATAGCAAATAACAAGGCTTGTAAAATAGTCCTACTTAATAAGAATATGTGAAAAAATTAACTTTGCCTGCTGGTTAAATCTGTTTGGTATTTCTCTGTTGCATCATTAAGTAAACTTTGGCAGGGCACCTTACCTCTCGAGCACATAATATCACTCAATAATGGGTAACATTTTCTGTTTTGTCATACCTTTATCTTTCCGAGGAATAACAATTAGCAGGAAAGCAAACCAATTTCCAGCAACTCTGCCTCCCACCAGCCCCCCTGCCCAGGGAAAGCATCATGGCCCGGCTCGGCCCCGGGGGATGACGTGGCTGATGCGCTGCACAAGTTGTTCCTGTTAAAGCAGGGATGGCTGGAGCATCCTCCACTCCTCGGGGCCTCCTTTCCCATTTCTGCTTCCCATGGAGGTGAGAAAGTTACTGCAGGGGTTAAGATCCTCCCAGCCATGCTGGCCAGTCCTCAAAATAGATTCAGCATTTCACTATGTATGATGCATATCTGTATTTTCATCACATCTACTGAAGCAACAGAACTCTTGTGTTAACAATGTCTTTTCATGGGCATTGATTTCTCAGTAATATTCAAGTATCTCAGCCTTCAGTACACACATATTTTCGCATCAGTACAACTTCACCTCTAAAATAACCATAATGGGCATCAAAAACCCTTCTGACGCTAACGACATGACAGTTCACAGCACAGTGTCACACTTCACAGCATTTACTACCCTCCTTTCTCAGCAATACACCTCAGGATCTCCACGACAAAAGCCAGTTTTCCTTAAACCACCCAGCCCTCACCTCCCCACCAGTGCTCTGCAAGGTGTTCACCTTCCAAACCCAAATTCTTCCTCTGCTGGTTTCTGTGCAGCTACTCAGGCTAAAAGCCCTGGAGGCTATACTGCCCATGGTTCCCTGTCAATGAACCAGCTGGAACAGCAGTGATATCCACCAAACAGCTTCATAAAATCTCATTCTTAACCTCTTCTGCAAAAAGAGAAATGGGAGCACATCTCTGCCCTCAGGAAAGGTTTGTGAAGCCTGAGACCCTGGGGGCAGAGGCAGAGTGGCAGTATCTTCCACCAATTATCATACATTTCAAGCAGATGTAATTACGCTAATCAAGACTTGCCTGATGCTGAATTTTACAGCTGATTTTTTACATTTTCACTTCTAGAAGAGCAACATCCTCAGGATTAGTCCTTAGTCATTAAAATTTAGTGACAGCTGAAGGTAATTCTAGAGAAGGTAGGGAGAACTACTCTGGACTGGGGTCAGTTTTTCCTAATAAATATGTACCTGAAACAAGCTAAGGTTTTGTTACATAGGCGCTTAAAAAAATACAGAAGCTGAGAGAATTCAGTGCATCTAGCTGCAGCTGTCACTTCACTTCTGTAATTTAATCTCAATGAAGTGCATTATGTCAAATAATTGCCTTAATGAAGACTAATGGGAGAACGGAGGAAAATAATAGAGAAGCTTTGACGAAAAGCTGCAAAGTTGCTTTGTTTTTAATCTGGCACTGATTTAACTCCCTGTCCTCCGGCTGTTACCCTTAGAGAGGTGACTGATCTGCCTTTCTTTCAAAAATAATGTTTCAGATGCTGCCCCAGTGATGGATTTTTGCATCTTGGATACAACGCCATAGTTTCCAAGTTTTAAATGACACAACATGTAAGACCAGCTCAGTCCACACAAGATCAGCCCTTCAAGTTCTGTTACTGAGGAATTCTTAATATCCAATCTAAGAATCCTCTGGCACAGCCTGAGGTCCTTTCCTCTCGTCCTCTTACTTGTTACTTGGGAAAAGAGACTTACATCCAAATTGATCCTTATTGACTGGCATCATCCTCTTCTGAGGTCCTGCCATTATTTTATTCATATTTTATTTTGAGAAGCCATTATGAAGCGATTTCATAAATTCCTCATGTGCTGATTTCCACCAACCCCCATGCTCAAGATATGCATCTCATGGTCATACTGGTTTGAAATTTATTTCAGTGGGCTGAAATGAAACTTTTTTAGGCAAATAAACTATCTTCTAAAAGCTAATATTTATCCAGTCCATGCAGGTTTCTGTGCATGAAACCTGAAAGAAAACCTCCCAGAAAATTAAATCAATCAAGTCAAATGAGTTTCCTTTCTTGCTGCCTGAAGGGATAACTTGAGAAAGAAAGAATCATACTTTTTCCAGCATGGATGAGGTGTGGGAGGTAAACGAGCTCTTCCCCCACCCAACTTCCACATATTTCCCAGTTAGCCTTGCCTAGTGCTGCAAATGCCCTCCAAATCATATGAGCTATCTCCCTGGAACAGTTGATTGTAGACCTTCCAGGTTAAAAGAAAGAAGAAGAGAAAAGGGGAAAAAGAGCATATTTAGCCCATTTTTCTCAAACCAATGAAAAATGTGACATTTCACCTTTTTTTCCTTTTTTCGGCAAATATTTTTTCCCCAGATTCCAAACAATTCTCCAACTGTAAAATTCAATGCGTGACCCTGCTGCAGAAGCCTGTGCCCAGCCCTTGCCACTGGTCTCAGGCATCACCTGGATTTCCCAAAGTACCCTTAGTTTCTCAAAGAGTTTTGCTCCTCCTTGCGCTTCCTGGACAGCCTCTTGTAGAGGTAGAGCGCTCGCTTCTCCTCCCTGCTCTCAAAGAAGGAGCCTGCGATTTTTCTGCACAGGCGGCGTGCGTAGGTTTGCAGGAATACGGTGGCGTAGAGGATGCAGAAGAGCAGCCCCACGACGAGCAGCACAGAGGGGTTGGGAGGTGTCAGGGGGCTGATGCTGCAGTGAGAAGAGCTGAAGGTCAGGTTGTGGAGGTAGTCTTTTTTAAAGTCCTGAAGTGGTGATTCTTCATCAGGAAGCCCGAAAAGTCTGAGAATAAAGGGCAGGATCCTTATTTTAGCCTGAAATAGAGAGAGTTAAAACTCAGAGGGGATATGAACAAACCAAAATCAACTAGTTGCCACAAAAACATCAGCCTGGAGATTTGTAATCACCATTGCAGCTTGTTTGGGTGCATTAAGAGAAGGACATTGAAGTACATATACACTTCAGGCTGAATGAGAATATGCAGGTTGATAAGAGAAGCTTCCAGCCTTGTTTGGTACCTAACGTAGCATGGTCTCTAGGTGCTGAGTACTTGGCACAGTGAGACCCAGTCCTATCTGTCATCTTTATCTGCTGTTAAGAGATCATAACAGGCATTCACTGTGTGAGATTTACGATGAAAGGCATAGTCCAGACAGCAGTATTAGTGGCTGCCTATTTGAATATTAGAAGTTTCTTTCCAAGCTCTGATTATTTTACTGTAAATCCATCATAAGCAGTTATCTGCACTAAGGAACCCCAGGATCAGGGAGGGAGGCAGGCAGCATGGGAGAAGAAGAGAGCTAAAATACTAAACCAGAACTAGACCGGACAAAACAGATAACCAGGGAGGCTTGGGAAAAGGATTGCACAGGGTGACCACATAGCTGGTGAGCAGGACTTTCTGCTTAAAGAATGGTCTGTGCAGTAAGATGAGGAGACATCCTCACAGCTGAGAGACATGTTCATCTGCTTCCCCCTTCTCTTTGTGCTTGCACCCACGCTCCGGCAGAGGAACAGTGCCACAAGGACACCAGGGAAGGGACCTGGAGATACAGGGACATCTGACCGCTGTGTGAAGCACTATTTGCTCGCCTCCTCACTCCCAAGAGGATGCAATTTGGAGTGGATGCTGCTATCTGATGCCCTGGAAGGAGAAACTGAGATTCAGCCTCTACCTCCACCCGCCTAAGCCTTTTACATTTTTTTTCCAGGTAGCTGTTGGGCAGGAAGGTAAAGATTGTGTAAATAAAGCCACAAAGACTGCGATCCCCACTGCCACTTCCCATGAGGTGATACACATTGAGGTTCCTGTGCAAGGAAGGACAGGGGACCCCAGTACTTACGCTGTATTCAATGCTGAGAGTGACAGGCACCACGGAGAACTGAGACACCTTTCTCACCGCGGTGTCTGCCAGGCCAAAGGCAAAGTGGTCCATCGCCACCACCACCAGCATCAGCATCAGGGCCACGGTGAGGAGCATGGCTTGCACAAGGCACTGCATCACTTCTTCCCGGGACAGCTTCAAGCCTGTTGGTCGAATTAGGTTTTCGGATGAGTCCACCAGCAGATGAGCTGCTTTTCTGTCGGCTGCTAAACGCTCCAGCTTCTCAGTGAGGTAAAAATTGTCAAAGCGGATGTTGGTGAGGTAGTTTTTCAAATACCAGGTGGACTCGAAACAGAGATAGAGCATGGAGAAGCCAGCGACCAGCTTGTTGCCTACTCGTACAGAGTCTTTGACCAGTACCTCAGCAGCCAAAAAGTCCCTGCCAATTTTCTCACTAGCAAGGTGCATTTGCTGGTAAATCAAGGAGCTGTTCTTAAGCAACGAAATCTTAAAATGTCCATTCATAGGCCTATAAATATTAATGGAATGAGCAGTTTCTTGGACTGCACTCCCAAACTCCCAGGAAGCTGACTTTAGCAGGACAGTTGAGTTCAAAAGACTCTCAGAGGAATTCTTGCAGATGCACTTAATAACCTGCAGGATGATTTTAATGTTGCTTATGATGTTGGGTGTCACGTTAACCACGACTATCATGATGCAGGTTGACAAGAGAAGCTTCCGGCCTTGTTTGGTACCTAATGTCGGCATGACCATACTGAAGACACAACGGGCAGGGTGCACCAAGAAAAGGGTCAGGAGAAGGAGCAGGCTGAAGGACACGGCCATGGCAATGGAGAGATGCCAGGAGTACTCCAGGGAAGCCAACATCCAGTTGTAAAAGAGGCCTCCTATCACCGCTGTGATGCAGGAACACTGCAGAAACAAGGTCCACAGCTCTCTGCTGTTTGCTGGGACAGGCTTGGAGTAAATTGACCATAGGTCTGCTGCAGTGCTGAGCACCTTTGGGAACAGAAATTCTTCACAGAAGACACGGGTTCTCTTCCTGTAAAAAAACCCAAGCACCTGGCTGTGAGCAGAGGAAGTACAGAAACACACCAATTAGGGGGCTTTCTTGAGATGATCACTCCTGGGTCTTTATAACATCCTTCTCTGAGGGCCTCTGGTCTCACTCCTCTACTTCTCTGCTAACCTGTGTAGCCGGGACTGAGATATATTCCCTGAAGCATGCAACACAGAGAAGGGCAAGGCATTTCTTGAAAGATCAAATACCAAGAACAACGTAGCTGTTCCTCCTCTAACGGAAGCACAGCAAATCATTGTATTACTCTAAGAAAATCATAATAAAGTCGTTCAGAGGGATCACCTCGTTGGCAGTGGGTAAGAGCAACTTTAGTGGTTATTTAGAGGGTGCTGGAGGGAGAAAGAGGAGGCTCCTGGCTGCTGTGGAACTTATTAGAGACCAGCTCTGCCATTACAAGTTGTTCAATGGACAAGAGGTAGCTGAACGGGAGTTTCTGACCTCCCTGCCTCTTAAAAGGAGATCAGACAAAAAGCTGCAGGTTTAAGAGTGACAAATACAGAACTGATCAGAGAAAACACTTTCAGGCTGAAGCACCAGTGCCAGAGGAAATCTCCAAGGATAAGAATTCGGCCACTGCAGACAGAATGATACGTCCCATAAAGCTATTTAATCTAATGAAAACAAACATTTGGTAAGGAGTATCATTTCCCAGGCTTGACATCTGGAGCGACTCTCCAGAGACTAGAAAACCTGGTGGGGACAAGGAGTCTCTCCCCAGCCAGGCAATCTCCTTCTCCTCCCACCCTGCAGCAGTCTCAGCTGTCCTTTGAGGGAAAATTTTGACTAGCAAAGTTAGGGTTTCAGTGGGAAAAGGCCATTCAACAGCTATCAAGACAAAGGGAAGGAGAGGATTAAAGCAGACACTACATACCCAGCAGCAGAGAGATGCTCTAGTCTTGCTTGAAGACTCTCCATGCTCCAGTGCCTTCTTGCTCTGGGAGAGGATCGTGGAAGCAGCTGCCAGGAAACTCAGGATAGGAAACCAAGGGGGCTGGCACCAGAGATCCAAGACTCAAAATTTAAAAAATGACATTTTAAAGTCAATTCAGACCAGCAATGCTGGTGATTTCTGAAGCGAGCGGGCAAACCTGGTGTGTGAAGCCTGGGCAATAACTCCACAACAGGACAGAGCCAGGATGCACAGCACTGCTGGGACTTTGTGCTTCTTCTGCTCTTACTGTTGTTGCAGAGAACTTTTATCCTGGTGTTCTCAAATCAGGACAACGACACGTAGCTGAAAAAAATGAGTCAACGACATATGGACTGATGAAGACGGAACAAAGATCACATGGAACACGAGGTGTCATCATCCCTTGTGTGGAAATCTGTCTCAGCCCAGCTGACTACTCCTCACGCTGCCCATCAGCGAGCGGCAAGGCTGGGATTTCTCTCAGAGAGAAGGGGAACTTTTCCTCTTTCAGACATCAGTCATGGCACGGGGGGCATGGTATGGTCCAGCAAACCGTGTTCTGATGATTGTTCATCTTTTCTGGGAGGATGCTGCTCCCTGCTGAAACCATGAGCTCATGTGCAGGGTACATACTGCTTGAAGGCTCATCTCACAGTCCTAGCAGAGGAAGTTGCAAACTTGAACCTTTCCCAATTCCCTATAGACAGCAAATTCACTGCAAAGAAAGCCCTGACACAGGCAGGATTCCCAAGCGCTGAGAAGCCAGCAGACGTGAAAGCCGGGGCACGCAATCCCAACAGGACTGACTTGCCTGACCCCAAGGATGTGCAGGGCACAGAGCTCCAGCCACCAAATCCAGGAGACCAGGATAAAAGCATGGTGTTAGCTCCTCAGTTACATTTCCAAATAAGAAGATTCCCCCTCCTCTGATCAGCTGCTACACAAGAATTACGTACCACTGCTGCCTGCCCGCATGCACTGAGCTCAGGAGTTACAGGACTCTTCCCTGGCTCCCACTACACCTGTCCCTTTGCCACCACTTGTGGGCAAAGGCGGCACAGCCCATCCAGCTGTCCTGAGCCAGCTCTTCACAGGGATCCACCATCCCATCCTGTGCTAAGCCCACTCAGCTGGGAACCACTGGGCCTCCGGGATGTTCTCCTGCTCCCCTGGGTGGGAGAGGGCAAAGGGCTGGAGGTCAGTCCTGTCCCAGCCAGCCCCGGGGGATGGAGCACACAGGCTCTGCTCTCCAGCCAGCAGTGGGAGAGCAGCCCCTTCCCCAGGTGACACGGCTGGAGCCCATGGCAGTGTCAGTTGTGTGAGGTCGGGCTGTAACAAGCAGGAGCAGGCAGAGCAAACCTCTGCTCCTTCAGTCCCTCCTGCGGGTACCGAAAGAGGTCCTTTCTGCCCTTGCTGCTCCACCCAACGATTCTGCTTTGTTGCTGGAGTTTCTCTTTTTCCCACACAGCTGTAGAGCAAAGGTTTCCTCCTGGAGCACAGACATGGGATGAGAAATTCCGACTGGCTCCAGCTGGGAAGAGGCACCAGCCAGGCGAGCGTGAAAGAAAGTGTCATTTGTTTGCAATTGCTTACACAGGCCATGAATTAGGTCCTGAATTCAATTTGCAGACTATAAAGGACCACCCCAAAAGGCCCATAGCTGTATTCTGCAAAACTCATCAGGTTCTCCTTAGCTGCTATTCTGAGATTAAACTTCTTTCTCACTGTAGTTATGAGCTAACCGGCTTCATCAGCCCCTGGGACCCCATTATGACTAAGCAGGCAGCTTTCTAGTCCACAAAGACAAGGTTACCAATAAAGAACAAAGACCCCCTCAAGTCCACAACATAGCAATGAGTGTTTTCTGAGCCTTTTGCATCATCTGGCAAAGAGGAACTGAAGTCTGTGGGGGAGCTGTGCTTGACCAGTAACTCCGGGCAGCACCAAGAGCAAAGTCAAATCTACATATTCTTTTGGCTCAACTCAAAGCTGATCTCTGCAGGCTGGACTATCCTAAATCTAGGATATCTTGTATTTAATACTCTGAACTGATAACCTCCAAATGAGCTAGAACTATTAACGCCCATCTCTCCCCAGGACACAAAGAGTAACCTTGCTTTGCAAAAAATAATAATAAAAAACCCAATTAAAAGTGTGTGTTTACAGATGTACGAAGAACTGGGAGCAGAGACTGGGGAGCACGACAGGGGCAGGACCGCGCGTCTCCGCGAAGCAACTGTGACATCTTGCGGTCACATCCTGCTAAAGTCTCTCAAAGTCTGTCTTGAGCTCAGAAACTACCCCAGTCTGGGCGTGGGAGAGTTTTAAGGAAAACTGAGGAAGCGAAGGAGAACCAGGAGGATGGGAGGCAGGCTTGGGGATGTGTACGGGATGCTCTGAGGTGCCTTCCCCCACGCTGTGTCCCTGGGGATCGTGTGACCCAGCTCTCCACTGGTACAAAGGGGCTTTGCTTTCTTGACAAGCTCCAGTCTCTGTAGAGCTCAAGCTCTAAAATTTTCTAACACTATTTAGACTTTTTAGCATTACAGTAGGAGACAAAGAAGAGATCCACATGCCAGCAGCCAGCTTGCTGTGACTGTAAGAAGACAACAGAAGGTTTCATTTGTCCCTAGCCTGGCCTTGCTGTGATCAGGGCTGGTGACTGAGCCTGTACCCCAGGACAGAAGTTGTAAATCCATTTCTGCTTTGCAGACTGCAGTGCTCCCAGAGTGGATCTCAGGGCAGCCTGCACAAAATTTTCTCTGCCAAGACACCTTCAAGTTCAACCTGTTAGTGACAGGATCCCCCCACAGAGGTGATGGTGATGGGAGGGGGTACAACATAAAGAAACAGCTGTAGCACAGGTAGCATATGAAGTACGTGAATTACATAGATTTTAAAAAATTACTAGGTAAAGAAGATGAATGGAAGGCTAAAAATAGGAGGGTTTAAGGGCAAAGATATTTCTCCATGGCAATATTCTCAGCACCTGTTGATCATATTTTTTTGCCAATTCAAGAAATTGAGGGTATGGGAAAGATGAGCCCATTAGTGGTGATTCTTTGCTTGTTAAACCACATGCAGACAAACAACTTACAAGGATATAGAGCCAGATTATGTCTTCTTATGTTTCTACCATAGAAATACAGAAAAATCCTAGCAATATCCTTTCAGCGACCTATGAGGGATAAATGCAATAGGGGAACCAAGGCTATCTAACCCACAATAGCTGAATTTCCTCTATCACGCTGGGCTTGCATTTGTTTTGAGACTCTTACTGAACTTCCAGCATCACTGCTGGGTGCAAATCAGGGGAGCACAGCCCCGGAATCACTTACCGCTGTTCAGACCCATGTAGCAGCTCTTCTGTGTGAACAGTTTGCAAAGCAACTCCAACGCTTCTGGGATAAAAAGATACTACAAAATGCTTTCCTACTGTAAATAAACTAAAACGATTTTCCTCCAAGTGTCTCAGGAGAACATGCGGATGTTCATCCAGGATTGGATGGGGAACATCAAAGGAGTAAAGCAGAGATATTCTGGATGTTGAATTTCAATGGCGTGAGTGGCATTTCCTGTTCATTAAAATTCACAAGCAGGCTGCTAAATGTGAACGGCTTTTGTGAGGTTGTTGGATTTTTACATTCCTAGAGAAATGGTGCACAAGGAGACAAAGTTCCTTAAAAATAACACAGCCAAAATTATAGGTTAGTACAGCACTTGAAATGGCCTTTCCTAGGAATTTTCATATCTCTACTCACATCACAGACCCTTCAAGAATAACGGGGTTAACTTACCATTCAAAGTTGCTTTTAGCAAATTTTAGTACTAGCAGCAGCAAACAGAATCAGAAATTATTCACGCAGTTCAGTTCACCCTTGAACTCCAGAAATACTAAATCTTAAAATCTCGGTTTAAAAAAAAATAAATTAAAAACCAAGAAGGCCAGACTAGTCCTCCTGCTCTCACAGATGCCTGGACATGAAAAAGCAGAATTAGGTAATGCTGTCGTCCACATGTCTTAAACCAGATCCTCTGGGGAGCCCTGGGAAACACAGAGGTTACTGATAGAGTCTTTTCACCTTTGAGGATTAGGATCTGGGTGCTCCTCATATCTTCCCCAGGTCTGCCGAGGCCCCACTGTGGGTCCTTAGATAAGTCACCGGTCCCCTCCCTGCCTCAGTTTCCCATGTGGACACAGAGATAATAAACCTTCCGTGGCTGCTTTTGTGAAATACCTTCTGATCTCTGGACAGACAGTACCGAGAACGATTTTTTGGAGACTTGTACACAAACTTTTTGGCCTTAGTTCTGCTTTCATACCCAAGTAAACCATCCTCCTTGATTCAACCGGGATGCACCAAGCCAGAGCTAAGACTGTAAGTAAACCCATGACCCCTACATCTGCAGCGGAGCTGGGCTGGACCTTACCCTTTGAACCTCAAGATTAGACCATCCAAAGGTCCTCACTGCTTGTCCTGCAGGCTCAGGGACAGAGACAGCTCTGTTCCAGTGACTGACTCCGTTCCCTGCAGTCTTGGCCGCGGCAGGGCAGTGGGACAGTGGTGCTCCGTCCCACAGCACCCGGCCACGCCGGGCACAGCCCCTTCCCTGGCCTCGGGACAGCCGGCTTGGAAAGGGAACTGCAGGGAGCAATCTTCCCTTCCCCATCCAGCCCATCCCTGCCGAACCAGGGTGCCCAAACCCAGCGTGGCATAGAGCTGCCTCGAGAAGGTGGGCCGGTGATACAGGGCACCCCAGGGGTGCCAGGGCTGCACCTCTTTGGCAGAGCAGCCCTGAGATGATGAGTGAGGAACCTTCCCATCACTCCATTACTTAACAGAGGTCCGTTTTGCTCAAGACCAGGAGGGAGACTTCACTGCCCTTCTGGGGTACCCCTGCCCAAATTGGGGGGGTGCAGCTAGGGGAGCCTCAGACTTTGTTTTTCTCCCCTCAATCTACAGAGCAAACAAGATAATGTGACGTGCTAACAAACGTGCTTTAT